AGGAGTGACTCAGACTTGGAAGAAGGTGAAATAAAAAGAGCAGAACATAAACCTCAAGAGGTAGAGGAGGAAAGAGATTGTAGAAGTTCGGGAACAACCAAAGACATTAAGCCTTTTCGGTTGAGGGAAGCGTATTCGATAGGTAAATAGGATTGTACCTATTTGCATATGTTAGTTAGAAGAGATATAAAGAGCATAATAAATTACAAGACAGACTACTGATCACTAGTCCTAGAACAATACAATAGAACAGAGTTATTTTTTTAATCATTTCATTCCCAAGAAGGCAATAAAGCCACTAAGATACAATGAAGTGGTTGGTTATTTTTTTAGTCGTTTATAAATCTCTATGGATTATTTAATGCCGAAATCTAAATATTTTATACGCAATCTTATTTAGTTTTTTAGATAGTAATAGTTTTAGTGATACAAGTCTTATTAATTAACCCATAGTTGGGGAGAGAAAAGGTGGATTCATGCCTTTCCCAAGAGTATTTGCTCGTAAGTGAATATAATGAACCCAACTGGAATTTCAAGTCGTCCTTCTGAATTACAATTATCCATTATATCACCTGCACGTCCTAGCATACAGCACTTGAAATCTCCAAGCAGTTGCCCATCTCGGTACTGACCAGGCTCAACGTTTCTTAACTTCGTTGATAAGTGTTTGAACGTAATTTAAACCGGGTTATTGGGAGTAAAACAAAATAAGAAGACGCTGGAGAAACAGAAGATGGCGACGAATGTTGCATTTAAATTTTTGAAGGTCGAACCTGGTTGGGAAGCAACGAACCGGAAGAGTTTCACAGCTGAGAAGTACGAGAGACGAAACTATTAGAATAGGACTTATGCTTATAATCTAGCTATTTCTACAATAAAACAGGGGGGCACCTAGTTGCCAATCTTGTAGTATGCTTAAATATTATACGGTCGAGGGATGAAATCGTATTAGAAAAATTGCCTTGTATGAACTCCAAGTAATTTCTTCTTTTATGTGCCACGTGCATTCATGACCCGGGCGATCATGGCTCTCCACATTTTTCTGTGATTTTCTTTTTTTAAGTAACCTTTTGCCGTAAAACGAAAAACTTATAATAAAGGAAAAGAAAATGTGATAATAAAAAAGAAAATAAACCACTACAATAGAACGAATACGCTGAAGAGGTTTTTTTTTTTTCAAAAAAAAAAAACAGAAACTCACACAACGTTAAGAAATAGAAGGACCTGTAGTATTAAAATCTAAGATTTAGTCAGCATTGGCCAAGATAAAGAAGGAGCAGTACTACGCGCATCACTAAAAGAAATACTGACAGCCTTAGATATTTCTGAATAGATAAAGTTCTTTCTTTTCTGTCACAAAGGCGTCCAGGACGTCAGTCTTTACAGTTTTCCACAAATTCCTTTCTTTTGTTGTTCCAAATAATTAATTATTATAATTTATTATAATTAAAAGAAACGACACGGTAGATATCTATTAATTTAATTGCATCTTTCCAGTGTTCGAATGTTTATAAGGATTGAAGTTATGGATAAAGTGTTCGAAGTCCATGTTGCTTTGTTGTTTTGTTCAAATACTTTCGAAAATGCCGGTCATTCTCAAGAAAAAATGTGGTGACGGCAATTAGACAAAAATTCTTTGTCTACATTCTGGTATTCTTTGGAAAGCTGAAAGTTTGAAATAGTCTACAGTGACATTATGTGTAACAACTATTTGGTACCAGACGGCACCAAACCAAATATATATATATATATATATATATATATATATATATATATATATATATATATAATCCATTATCTTACACACACACTGACAAACACACACACACATACACACACACACGCATATATGAAGAAATATAGTTTTAAGGTGTGATATGGGATAAAGTCCTCAATATCAGAGATAGAGTGTATGTAAATATAAAAATGAACATTGAAGTCAGCACTCAGAGGCGACACGCTGTTTCATGCTAGACGCAATCGAGTGTTGACTTCAATGTTCACTTTTACGGCTATTATAGCAAGACGTTAAATCGAATCGAGTCCTCTCGGTCACCTTCATCCCTGTTATGCGTCGACGGCTTAGGGGTAGAATAAAAACCTCGGAGAATTCCAGCAAGATTATATTAAATAATTTCAACGGTTCAAAGCTTAATCTAACAATTGGACAATTTGTGCTGTTACACGATTTGGACTGGTATATATATATATATATATATATATATATATATACATATATATATATATATTCAATGATAATGTTATTAAGCTTATCAGACAATATGAAAAGAACTTAAAATAAATAGAGAAAACTTGTCTATATTATTTAACGAAACATACATCAATGAAAAACTGCTGCCTATATATATATATATATATATATATATATATATATATATATATATATATATACAGGTAGTAATCCGTTGATATAATCCTGGCAAGTCCTATTAATAAAACATAGAATTTGAAATATGTTAAAACTGAGGCACAAAAGAAT